CTGTGAGGACGCCTAATGAAATGTGAATACGCCACATACTTCATTGACTCAGTAAAAAATAAATATTTTATAGGCACATTTTACCATAGGCTAGTAATGGTGAACATAGCAAGCTTTCTGTCGCTAGTAAGTGTTCGTGATTGCCAATTGTAAGCCGCAGTATCATTTAAATAAATAAATAAAGAGAAGTTTGTGCTACCCAGGGAAGTAATCAATTAGAATTAACACCGATATAAGTAACTATAGTTATATCTAGTTGATATGGGCACCTCCGTTCTTACAAAAAAAGGGCCCATAATGTGAGTTATCTATAATAATTAAACAAAAACGTATCTACAGCACGTAAACTAACTATATTCGGGCACTTTATACGGTCCGCACGTATCGCGCTGCGACTACACAGGTACAAACAGGTGGCAAAAATTCACAGTGAAAAAAAAAAATTTAAAAATCAACTTATTTTGTTGAAAAGAAGAGAAAAAAAACAGAAACCTGTTTAGGACAATGTGCGTCACCACCTTTCAGACGATGTACGCGTAGTGAGATATGCTGCCGACAGATGGCGCACGCCGCGTCGAGGGAGCGCAGACCGATTCGGGTTCTTCTGCGGGATCGTCTGCTATAGCAGACGATCCCGCAGAAGAACACGAATCGGCCGGCGCTCCCTTAGAGAGCCCGTAATTAGAGAGTGTTGAACTGCTCGATTACTCGTCATTGGTCGATCGTTATCATGTGGCTTCTAGACGCCATGTTGAGTTTAATTTTTGCTGCGGGCCTAAAAAGGTACACAGTCTTTTTTTTTCACTTTTACTTTATGCAAGCCTGAAAATTATTGAATATTTTATAAAACACATAAAAGTGATCATTTATTTGTCACCAATTCTATTTTGATACGCTAAGTTATTTCTAAACGCGAATATTCGTTAAAATCAACATCTTGAATTTCGTCGCGCACCTGGCAACAGTGGTTGCTGCTCCGCTTTGGCCTCAAGCAGTGGCCACGGTGCTTGAGGACAAATCAGACGCGCGAACCTGTTGGTCACAGTAAGTGTGGCCGCACTTGCCAGCTTTCCAGGCGACGAGCTATCGAACGGTAGTGTTGATCACTCTGTTTCCGTGAGAAGCGGGTTAAGGTTGTTACAGTTGTTATAGTGTGTACCCACCGTGGTTTGGCAAAACAGCGGTGGGTACCACCGTGGTTTTGCCAAAGTGCTCGCCACTCATTGCTACTCACTGCTTGCCGCTCGCCGGGGCTATCGACGTGCATCTACTGAGAGAGGTGCTGGTGTTTCATTTTCTATATTTCGTTGTTTGGAATCAGTTACGGCTTATACTGCATGCCTTTCTGTGGTGCCTGCGCTTACGAGCGGCATCGGCTAAGAACGGCACATCGCACCATAAGCGCAGGAACATTGAGGCATCAATCTATTAGCAACACAGTCGTTCTGTCGCCTCTTTCAACGTATGAATTTTAATAAATAAAGTAATTGGTTGTAATTTCGCTTGTATCGTGTCTCCTTTCGATATTGATAGGCGTTACTAAAATCATCGACTCCTTTTCGCATCTGCACACTGCCGCGCATGCTCTTGTCTGCTGCCATGCGAAACCCTAGTGCCCTTGTCTTTCATACATTTCAATATAACCACGCCATAAAATTGAACACTGCCATCCCGCCATCGCCTGACAGGGAAGTCCCAAACAACGCGATTATTGCGTCTAGCACAAGATGGGTATTTTGCTTACGGAGAGGAGCGCGGTGAAACCTCGGATCACGAGTTTACAATGCGACTGATTCTACTATGATTTCTTTCATTAAAAATGTGCAACCAACGAGAAACTCCTAGCAATCCATGTACTCGTTCCGAACTCGGAACCGTCCTGACGGACAGCGTACGAGCCAAAACCATCTTTTCGAACAGGGCCGCCCGCAGGTCCTACGGGAGCCGCAGGGCTGGCGGAGTGGCAGGCCAGGGCACCACTCGGACGGCTTTAATAATAAGAAGAATAATGCTTATTTTGCACCAAAAATACATGATGCAGGAGCCATGCCAAAAAAAGCTGTCAAATAGACAGCTTGACAAAGCCGAAGGCCCCCATACTGGCAGCGTCAGGCAAAGATAAGACGGGTCGATCCAGCCAGGCAGCAAACCAGCCAGCCATGTCCTCTCTAGGCGGCTTGATTCAGCCAGACAGCCAATCAGCCAACCATAGCCTTGTGACCAAACGCTTCCATGTTTTCCGTTGCGCCATCTCTAACCATAGAGCATATCTACTCCCTCCACGCGGTGTACGCGTCTGTCGGCAATACTTCTTCCTAAGCGTGCTTCGTCTGCTAAGTGGCGGCGCAGGTTTCCCAGGACAAGCTTTTGTTGTTTTTAGCGTGAAACGTTCTTTGGCTATCGGTGTTCGCCATTTCGTGAAGCCTGGAAAAAAGCGTGGCCGCGAGGCTCGACACTGATTGGTTGGCGGGTGGTGGAGGAGGAGTGGAGGTGCTCGACGCCGATTGGTTCACGGGAAGGTCATGTGACCAGAGGGTTGGTGAGGAGGAGTGAAGTAGGCGAGAAGGAGCTAGACCACCTGTGCGCACTCAGGGAAAGGAGCTCGATTGCATTGAGTGCTCTAGATGATCACCAGGTTTATCAGTCCGATTATCGGTAGTATCGCTTCATTCTAGAAACAACTATCAAGTGTGCACATGGTACGCGTTAATCTATCTGATGAAGAGTGCCATGAACGTAGGCGTCTGGCGTCTAAAAACTCAAACCATCGCTAAAAGTTTCTGGTACTAGAACGTTTCATGTATGCAACACAATTGCCTAACAATTTGCCTTTTCCTTTAAGGAGGTAAGTTCATTCTTTGAATTTTTTATGTGAACTTCTATCGCCTGATTGCACGTCTGTAGTCAATTGCAGCTAGATGCGCTGACAAACTGATTTTGGCGGGCCGTCTAAGTACCTAAAAAACATTGTTTACATGCTGTACTTCTCAAGCTCGTCCAGGAAAATGTTGTCTATATTATGTCTGTAATCCTATGAAAATGTCTGCATTGCTAATATCGGTGTTCGTACTAAATAGACATGGCTGTATGAACATATTTAACAAAAGTGCTTAATTGAGTTGTTGTTGTTGTTGATTTTTTCACAGTAGAAGTAACTTTTTTTATCACTAATTATACCGAAGCTACTCTGCTTTTTGTACAAATAGTTGACTAAATAAGCAATTTGAGTAGTAGGATCTCTAATTCAGTTTAATGCTATTAAATCATCTTGACCTTATAAACTTACAGTTGTGTTCTAAGAAAGTATGCTGAAAAGCATTTTCACTTGCTTGTAATATTTGTTAATAAGCTTAGCAAACTTAAGATGCACCGTGATTAGGTATTTGGAAAAACAACTGGATTAAGAACAGTGCGATTTAACTTTTAAACCAATTTTGTCTACGAGCGCGACGTGTAAAACTTTTGCAATTGGCAAAAACTTCTTAATATTCTGATGAAACTAACCAGATTTAAGACAGCTATGAAAAATATAAAATAACCACACCGCTCATCAATGATTTAACGATGTGAAAATATGTATAACAAATTGCGTGTATGTAGCTTGTGAGACTTTGTTTGATCGCGTATCACACACAGTGGTTTTATAAGCTCCTGCAATCTGGGATTTTCTAGGATTATAATCTGGGATCATGAGTTTGTTGAAAATACTTCAACCAAACCGGCAACGTTTCGCTTCCCCAATGTGTCGAGTCCTAAATTACTTGTTATATCATGAATTCTGCGCAAATTATTATACTGTTGCTATTGGTGTTCATCGCCTACTTGAGTGACTGAGTTGACAATGTTATTCTTGTGAAACATTTAGCAATCTCTTTGTGTGGTATTACGTTAAGTTCACTGACAACAACGTTTCTCAGGAAAAAATAACCTTCACAGTTGACTTCTGCCAAAAATTATTTAAATATTAACCTTATCTTGAAAAACAAAAACAAAAGAACTTTACTTTCTGGTATACTGCTTTATTGAAATGTTAGCTATCCCATTTACCTCACTTTATTTCTGAGCCAGAAAGGAAGTGACGAACTTGCTAACGGGAAATGCTCTTGTTGGTGACGTCACGGACATTTTCAAACATGGCCTCCTCACAGAACGGGCGGATCTCAAAGGTCCGTGATTAAAGCGAACTTATCCCTCTTTCTCGTATTGATCAGCCGATGGGCATCACAAAAAAACAGGGTTAGACGCGTGTTTTCAAGCGCATGAGCAAATTCCTCAATAGTTGGGCAAAAAATTAAAAGTTATTTTCTCTAGAAAACCCACGAGACCTGCCCAAATTGAATCGATCCCAACTGCGGTCCATGCTGTCTCGATCATCATAGTCCCACAACAACGGCTCTGAGAAGTAAGGCCATAAAATTATGGATTTCATCTCGTTTTCTGAGCAGCCTTTTTTGTTTTGAAAGCGATACTCTTAACTGGGAACCCTGCACAAATCTTTCTCGCTAGTGCTGGACTGACCGGATGACGGCATAATATCACATGACATCATGCTGCCTTGTCACGTAACAGTGTCACGTGATACCATAATGATTTCCCCGATAAATGTAGCGGGAAAGTTGATGTCACATGACCTGACATCATGTAATGTAAAGCCACTTGGCATCGTGACGTCGCTGTGTCAAGTGCGTAGAAATTAATAAACAACATGTTCTCCACTCCCCAAAACGACTCTTTGATATTTTTTTGACAAATTTAAACAATCGTTCCTTCCATACTGCATTCTATGCGTTATTGGACATTGGGGATAAAAGTAGCTGGTAATCTACTAGGCGCGGCGACAGTTCAAAGAAAATTAGTCCGATAGAAAGTGCTGCTTGTTAGGAACTCCATGAAATGATATTGCATCTTCAGTGCATTTGACAAACTGTCTGAAACAGGCGATTTGTTTTTGTTTTGTTTTTTCTTGCGGCGGCACTTTGTGGCGGTTTAATGTACAGTCATCGTGGAAAACAGGAACATTTATTGAAACACGAGTATTTACAGACGATTGAGCACACGTCTTCGGTTCAGTATGGTCGGCGTTTCAGCGTGTTTCCTGGACAAGCCCAAATTTCAGTGGGAGACAGAATTTGGCAGAACAGCAACAAAGCAGCCAGAGAATTGGGAGCCCCGCTCATCCGTGACCTTCGGCGACGTTCAGTAGTATCCTGCGGAAGCCAAGCAGAACAGAACCAGCACGTGAGCAAGAATATAGTCTTCTCTTTTTTTTTCAGTCCAAAAACCACCGAATTGCTTTAACCTATGTAAATAGTAAGATGCATCCCAATATAATCTGCCACATGATAACAACAGCACGAGAAGGTCCACGCACCAAAAAGTTGCACTTTATTCGGTGACAGGTTAAGAATTCAGGTGAAACTGTTCCCACCCCTTTCCACTTTAGCGGAGCGAACCCTGAAGAGGAGGCGATCTCCCCTCAAGCGTTCGCTCTGCCGTAGTGGAAAGAGGTGGGAGCAGTTTCCCCTGAACTTTTAACCTCTTACCAACTATAGACGTTTGCAACTACGGCCTCTGGGCGCCGCCATCTTGCTGCTGGTCTGGGTGGACCTTCTAATACTCAAGCATTGCTGAGGCCGTGAGTACGCCTCAGCAATGCTTGACTAGCAGACGATCTACCCACACCAGCAGCAAGATGGCAGTGCCCAGTGGCCGTAGAAGGGTGGTGAGCTAGGCTAGTTGGTAAGCATTATACATGGTTGGAGTCAGCGAGCAGCGTGAGGAAACTGTAGAAGAAGGCAGAAGACAGGATAGACGCTGAACTCACATCTTAATGTTTCATCCAGAAGAGAAGAAAGAAGATGACAGATAACCAACAGGCACGTGCTCACGACACGAGAACTCTAGGGCGCGGGGTGATGGCTTCAGAGCATCGAAGGGTTTAAAAACAAAACTTTCTTTTCAGATAGTGTAACAGAAGGATGGCTCACGCAGTGCTCCCCCGGACCTTGTATAATAATCGCCTCGTAAATTTCTCTGGCGAGTTTTTCCTTATATCTACCGATGATAGCGGTGCTGGCCAGGTTTTATTACATATAGAGGCTTGACAGTGCTGGGGCAGGTGACCCCCACCGTTGACCTCATAGACTGGTTATGTTCACGTAGCCTACCATTATTACATCTTCCTGTTTGTTACGTACTTTCTACCATATGTTAAAGGAGTGCTGTATACCACGCGCGAGGTGCAGGGCACAAACTAGGTAGCATGTTCCTTTTTTACATTTCATTCGAGATACTTTGTGATAATTAATTGCACCTTGGAATAAATCTCGGCCATTTTTTTAGGGGCTGGAAAAACAACTGGAACTTTATATCTTTGGGCGTGGGACAGTCGGGAAGATGTAATAATGATTGGCTACGTGAACATAACCTGTCTATGAGGTCAAAGGTGGGGAGTCACTTGCCTCTGCACTGTTAAACCTGTACATGTAATCCAAATCTGGCTAGCACCGCTATCATCGATCGATATAAGGAAAAACTCTCCATAGAAAATTACGAGGCGTGCATTATTCAAGGTCTGGGGGAGCGCTACGCGAGCCATCCTTCTGTTACGGCATCTAAAAAAGAAGTTCTGTTTTTAAACGCTTCGATGCGCTGCAGCCATCGCCCTGCGCTCTGGAGTTCTCGCGCAATGATCACGTGCTTGTTGGTTACGTCATATTCTTTCTTGTTCCCTCTTGGGTGAAATATTGAGTTATGAGTTCAGCGTCTATCCTGTCTCTTGTATTCTTCTATAGTTTTCTCATGTTGTTCGCTGACTTTAACCCCGTATAAAACCCAGTGGCCGTACTTGCAAACGTGTATGGACATAATTTGAAGGTATTTCTTTTTGTCGGTGCCATGAAAAAGAGATGCTGACTGGTGCTCGTTGCTTTCCGTGACGTCAGAGAAATGATAAGCTCATAGTGAGTGACGCAATGTCGTTTCTTATTTTTAAAAATTCAGAGGCGGAGTCCTTTTTTTTTTTTTTCCTGCAGTTCTTAGGTTTTAAGAAAAGGTGGGGGTTAACTCAAGAAAGTAATTGTTTCCACCACATACGGCACCGCATTATCATAGATGCGGGTGGATGAAGACTTCACGCTTTCTATGTTTTCGTTGATAGTTTGCTATCTCACATAAGATTTTAGTTAAAGGCATTCTTTAAGAAATAGCTTGGAAACAAATTGTTGGAAGACAGAAGTGTCTTGATTCCGACACTCCAGCTGTAGCTTTCTTTTCTTTTCTTTTTTTTTTACGAACACATATTGCATTTTATTGACATTTTTTCGCATGTTTGCCCATAAGCTTTAAGTCTGAATTTATGTTAAAAAAAAAAATCTCTTTGTCGTTTTGATTTTTTTAGCTAGTGTTTTTTTTGTGTTTTTAATCCTGTCTGACAAACTGTTCTGAAATTACATTGGTTGTCATCCATTGCTTTTTGATTTAACGCAAAGCAATGCTCGCAAAAAGAACACATTTTTGTGCAAATATAAATTGCTGAAGCTCGGCAGCATATGAGAAAAGTTTCAAACTCGTTATGCAACTTTTTGTTTCAACTACAATTGATTCCTGGTGACTAAAAGCTCAATGTATGAATAGTGATATCTATACGACAGCATATTTTTGACAAGTGGAAGGTATTTCTGCTCGTGACAAAAAAAAAAGAAAACAATAGTCTTCCTCGGCTGTCTTGTATTCAAAAAAAATTAAGATTGTTACAAGTTAAGGCAAAGCTTGAGTACAAATTGCGTTCGATTTGATAATATTTTATACTTATTTATAACTGAATTATTGAAGTTTGTACTATTTTTACAAGATTTACCAGATCAGTTTTGGAGACTACCGAGCTTAATGTGGTAAAAAAGATAAAATAGAATACCAAAACACCATTCGTTCTACATTCTTTGTCACTGGATAATTTGCGGAGATTCACAGTTAATATTTCCTCGCTCCTCGTCTGCCGATTGGACGGCTTTTGGGATGATATCTGAAGTGTTTGTTGTGTCGACGTAGCAGTGGCTCATTCCCATATTCCCTTCCTTATTATCCCAACTTTCACATTATTTGAGACCTACAACTACACAATGTATTCAAAAGCTCATGTCTGGCGTTCGGATCTTTTAGAACAGGAGCCGGGGCATGACTCGGCGGATTTTAATTTAAAGCTAACTATGGCGGACGGGTTTACTCGAGTTGCAGCACTCCGAAAGTTCATCCAGTGACTCAAAAATACCTCTTCTACATAATAATATACTACAGGCGCCGGCAAGCTGATGTAAGTTTACCATTTTCTTAAGACCCCTAGACTGGGTAAAGAACGTAAGGCAACCTAAGTGAAAGAAACAGAGAAAGGACGACAGAAGGCAACGTGTCAACCTCTTCTTCCCGGTGACAGAGAACGGAAAAGTCCTAACCTGCCGGAAGCTCAGCCAATGACTCCGCCATAGTGACCGCCTCCTCCGTAGTGACCTCCGCCAACGCCTCCGGCGTGGCCAGCCTTCTCGAATCCTCCACCGTGCGCCTGGTGGCCAGCACCGTAAGCGCCTCCGGAACTAGCTTGGAGACCGTAGGTCGAGGAATGGCCGTACGACGTGCTCTGCCCGAACACCTTCTTCTGGGCTCCTCCAGCGCCGTAACCGTACCCACCCTGTCCGTAGCCGCGGCCAGCTCCGTAGTAGCCGCTACCGTAGCCGCCATAGCCGGCACCGCCGTAGCCGAGACCTCCGTAGCCAAGACCGCCATAGCCAAGACCGCCATAGCCGAGACCTCCGTAGCCGAGACCGCCATAGCCGAGACCTCCGTAGCCACCGCCGTAGCCGCCATAGCCAGCTCCATAGCCGCCATAGCCGGCGCCATAGCCTCCGTAGCCGGCTCCGACTCCGGCTCCGTAGCCGGCTCCAACGAGGCCGCCTCCGTAGCCGACTCCGGGTCCGAAGCCCAGGCCGACGCCGGGTCCGAAGAAGCCGCCGCGGCTCTCGACCTTCTCGTCCTTCTTGTCCTTGGCGGCGTCGGCGACCGGCTTGTCGCTAGTCGCGGGCACCTCGGCGGGCTTGTCCTCGGCGTAGGACAAGGCCAGAGCGGCCAGGCTGACCAGCAGGATGAGCTGTGTCGGGAGCAAGAACCATTGAAGAGTGCTATTCACAAACCGGCAAAATCGATTGATAATCATAGCGTCTTAGCTTTCGTTATGGTAGCGGTAAGTACAACTTTCCCACTACATGCGACTAATAAATCTCTCAGCTTGGTGTTTTTTACTGCTACAAGACTGTAACTAAGGCATGAGTCGAAATCTGGTGTATGCATGACGTTCTTGGCTAAACTATCTTGGATGCCAAAGTGGTGAGCTGAAACCTCTGCCACGGTATTTGACAATAGCCGGCGTTTCCTTGTTGTTCTTTTTAATTATCCTCAATTCACGAATCCCTTTGTGCACTGTCATTCGACATTGTGTTCCAGCGAGGTATGGTGGATATCCGTTTTAAATCTGATATATCGTATCCAGTTGCCCAGAATGATAAGCGGCCCTCTTTTTTCTGTCTCTTTCAAATTACGTGTCCATCCCGACTCATAATGCGCATAAAGGGTCTTTGATCGACATTCCATGTGCAACTAGATGAACTTTACAGCAAGTGTGTAACCAATCTGTTTTTTTTTGTTGTTGTTTTTTTTTCCTTACACGATTAACCTTATTTTTCAAGTGACATCAACAGTTATGTGCCACCTAATAGCCTCGCTGCCTCTTGATGTCACAAGATTCCATTCTGCGACCGGACAGTGATACAGGCAATCACTTCCACGCCACCCCTTGCTTCCGTCTATTCCTCTATCTGCTCAAGCTGAACACACAAATTAAAATGAAAGTCGATTTCAATACAAAAGCCCGAGGAGAAAGGAACCCCGTCATATAGGCGAGGTGCAGCTCGACACTCACCGTGGTTTTCATATTTGGCGACTTCTTTGGTGGCAACACGATTTACAGGCAGTCGAACTCTTTTCGTACCTCGTGGCGATGGTCTGCGCCTGGTTACTGGCCGCGCTTATATATCCGCACCTTCCCTGCCGAACGCTTGCTCTCTTATTTCTTTGTAGTGTTGGTTCCATGACTGCCAATCTCACGCGGCAACCGCTGACTTCCCGCTAATAACATTCGGAAGAGGCGAGGAGCCCCGCGGGAAGGAAGGAGGGAGAGGTCCCGTACAGGTGGGGTAGCACACGAAGAGCGAAACACGGGGGGTATTTTTTTCTCTGCTTCACCCGCGTCTTTATTTTCTTCGGGGCTCTCCCTTTCTCTTTGGCGGTCTGTTGCCTTTCTTTTGGCGGTCTGTTGCCTTTCTCTTGGCGGTCATTGGACACTCCCTCCCACCTCGGGGAAAAAACGCCGGGCAGGGTCATTTTAGAAGAGACGCGTTTTCTTCTGGTGGAGGTAGCCATGGCCCGCAGGACGGGCAGAGAGGGGTGGATTCCGGCAACGCTAACCAAAAACGCCTTACTATTTGGAAGACTGGAGGATGCAGCTCTTTCCCTCTCTCAGACTCCCTCGGCCGTTAGCAGAGGGTACCAAAAAAGAAAGGACCCTGTTGTGAAGTCCTGTGACGTAACTCCAAGGTCTAACCGGTTCTGCACGAGCTGAAACCGCCCATGAAGTGGATGGCATCTCACGGGCGAAAGGGTTGGGGAGGGAGGCTGAGATCCGGCCTTCTGGATAGTGCTTAGACGAAGTCATCTCCCCCCCTCCACCCGAAGATTCGTTGCCCCCTCGAGAGGCATCCCTTTTCAGCTGTTTCTCAGCGAGCTGGTCTCAAGAGCCTGCCATGTATCGAGAGGCCGACGAAAATGTATGCGACACGTGTGCATTTGGGCCGCCTTGGGTTTTTGTGCGGATGCTGAGGAGCTGACGCTCCGGCTGATTCGTTGGTATTGCAGGAATTTACGGCGCTTGAAAAAAGCCGACTCTTCCTTATCCGAGTTTATTTTCTTTTTCTTTATAAAAATTTGGACCTTTTTTGTGTTTAATTGTTCAATTAATTTTTTCCTTTTTTCTTTGTACTCAATCAACTTGTTTCTTTTTCCTTCTGAATGACTTCTTGCGACTCTATGGAAAAGTCTAGGTTATTTCGTCACTAGTATGAAACGACACACGATAAGTCAGTGCACCATCTACTTAATGCCCTAGCACCACTGCGGGTCTTGGGTAAAAAACCAGCTGAACAAAGGAAGGAAGGCGACAGGAGAAAAAGATTGGCGAACCGACCGCTGGACTACCAACTGTTTTTTATTTAATCTTCCTCTTGTATTAATTCATCTCCAATCATCCTTTTTCTTCCTCTTTCCCATTGCTCTTATTTTTGCTCTTATTTTTTCTCATTTTTTCTCCTGATTTTTATCAATTACCCACTGCGGGCCTGAGTTTTGGGGACGTAAACATTTCGTTTATTTCTGGCTTCTTTTCTGTTTGTTCCACGAAGGCCTGTGCTATCCTACTCACCCTTTAATTGTATCATCCCAAGCGTGTTTTTTTTTTTTTTTTCATATCTTACCCTTAAACAAAGTGTCGCACATTTTAACCTTAGGCTATATCAATGTTAATCTTTGGAACATGGTGAAAAAAAACTGGGCTAGTTAGTCTTGATGTACAGAGCGCGACACAGTTACAGCAGTTACAGTCACTGAGAGAGTGAGAAGGGCAGGGCGCCCCTTTCTAACGCCCGGCCTTCAGCGCGCGCCCGTTGCCTTCTGGTGTGCTTTGGCTGCGCACAAACCACGGTGTGGCACAAACGCTCGAAGCGCTATAGTGACTCTGAAGCGCTAACGAATGTACGAAGTTAGCGCTAGAGGCAGAAAAGCTAATGCTCCTCCCTGCCGTCTTCACTCTGTCTGTAACTACAGCACAAACAAGCCGTCGTCGATTTTAGTAGTGTTTCGCTAGGTATTATAAGGTCATCAAAACGACTATTTGTGGTAAAAATCGCTATTTTGTGGCACAAGCCTAAGCCGCAAAATTTGGTTCTTACGTACTGCATGTGAGTTATGCTTTATTTTGTGTGCCGTTATTTTGTTCGCATTAACTTTGTACCGCAAGGTAGTGAAAAACGGCGCTCAAAAAGGAAGGAAAAAAGAAACCCCTGGACAAAAACTAAATGCGCTAGACTTATTGGAAACCTGTGGTCTCCACTTCTTTTTTTAAGTGTTGCTCTTCACTATGTTACGTTTATGCATGCAATGTTTAAGAAGTTGACTGAGCACGGAACCGTCTCACTTCTGTAAGCACTAGAAGGAGTAAACGCATCCGAACAAAACAAAAACAAAACAAAAATCTTTGTGTTTTTAAACTATTTAGATTTCAATTTCTAATTATTGTTTTAAGAATGCGTAGCTTCTTGATGATCAAAGATTTTCCTCCACTAAGAAAAGCCCTATTTGCATTTTATAGGAGATCCCACCCCTTTAACGCTCAACCCTCTGTTTCTGAAAAGCAAAATTGAGGCTCCGTCACTAACTTGCTGTCTGTCTGAACGTAATTTGTGCAATACGATGGCAGCAATTAATGGTCAACATTGGTCCTGAAGGGTGTACGGGCAGCAAGGAAACGGGTAAAGACGTCTTTTTGTGGCATTACATAATAAGTGCAAGCTTGTCGGTTCCGGAAACCTCTAAAATGCTTTTCTGCGCTTTCTTCGAATCGTTGGTCATCAACGTCTCGTCGGACACCGTTATGTGGCGTCTGAGAAAACGCGAGGCAACTTGTCGATTAGGCTCCCCCTTGAGTACGCGGCGTTATGTAATATACACCCACGCTGTTCTATGCAAAGGACATCCTGTGTGTCTAAATAAAAACTCAAGTAAAGCTTCGTTTTTGTGTGTGTGTGTGTTTTTGTTTCGTTTTACTTTTTTCATTTAGGCGGCGACAATATTTGGCCATCGTCACGAGGTTTCAATGAAATGCACAAGAAAGCCTCAAGGCTGAAACACGGTGTCGGTTAGGGGCTTCTGCGAGCATTGCGGTTCATCTCGCAGGCGGAAGTTAGAAAGCGTCTTTTTTCGCGTATGGCTTCCTTGTGACGTAAAACGTTTTGCCGCGAATCTGTGCTTTTGCGATGAAAACTCATTTCTAGGTTTCTCCGTGGCAATCGCGTAGGTGTTTCCGCGCAATTGTCCGCGCGCGCTCTCTTTCGTCAAAGGACGCGGATATGTCAGGAGGTTTCCGCGATTCTCACGGTTAATTCATTTTTCCGTCGGAGAACTAGATAACAGGGATTCGTGACCTATTTCCTCGAGGGTTAAATTGCGCAACTTCGAGACACTGCGTTACTCAGCCAACCTTCGTAACATGTACCATCTCGTTCAGCTGTGTCCAGCTTGACTAGATCAGCAAAAAAAGAAAAAAAAGATTACTGTTTTATTGTGACAGCTAAATATAGTGAGATGTGAACGCACATTACGTTCGAATAAAGAAAAGAAAGACACACTTCAAATTGAAACTGGCATGACCACGAATATACATGTCTCTAAGGAGTCCGTGTACATTTCATTTTTATCTGCTGACATGTTTGTTTTGGAGTGTAAATTTGTTACGGTTGCGATGCGACACCGTGTTCCTAAAACGAAGCATTTTATTGGCTTCGGTCTCGATTAAATACGAGAGTATATCTGAAAAAAAATAGCTAGATTTCTAAGTAACAACATATAAGTAAATTTTAAGTAATTATATAAGAAATAACAATCGGGTGCTTGGAGGACTAGTCCGACAAACCTTCGGCCTCTTTGCTGTTGTCCTAATTTTTTCTGAAGTAAATAAATTAAATTAATATCAAAACACACAAACTCTATCATTTGTGGAACAGACGTATTATATGTGTACACCTTCCAGCGAAGTTCGTCTAATACAACAAGATATCTACCCCGTACCAAAAAAAGAATAGGGTAAAACAAATATTCGAGAATCATTGTCAAATCTAAATTTTTTCTCATTAACAGTGAGCATGCCAAGGGGTGCTACTAAGGTGAGGGAGCGAACGTCAAGACATGAGACTCGAGAAAGTCGTACGCCTCGTGAGAACGTGGCAGAGCTTCTAGCTGCATCAAAACTACTGTCGGTGCTCAATCATTCGGGTCGCCCACAATTCCAAAGCTGTTTCATTTCTCTGTTCTAGAGCAGCCGATGACAACATTAAGCTGTCACCACTTTATTCGCCAGATATAAGTCAGTTCTTTTTACGTCAGACAGAGAGGAAGAAACAAGACACACAGAGCCGACAGCAACAAGTGCTACCAACTTGAACAACAACTGTTTACCTCGCCTTATCGGGCAGAAAGCCAACTGTTTTTGCATCTCGTTTATTGGTCGGTTATCGCGACGACCTTAGACACCTTGTAAATGGAGCTACGATTGACCTTGTAACGCGTGTGTTGCTGAATGGACAACCTTATTGAAATTCGCATCATAGCTACGTCGGAGAGGGCACGGGCTGAAATCGGCGACCGATGCTTCTACCTCGATAAATTTCATTAGAAAGGTGTGTTATTCGACGATGATTTCCAGGAAACAGATAGACATACTAAGAAAGCCTTGCAAGCATGAGAACAAATGTTTGGCCGCTTTCAAAATGTATTTAATGGTTTTTCTTTTTGTAAATGACGTCAATAATCCGGGGCAATATTCCAATATTGCGCCATAAACGGATATAATAGTTTGTAGCTTTATTATAATATCTGTTGCGTTTTTCTTAGCCTTTAAAACGCGGCATTAGGGATAGAACTGCTTCTTTTTCATATTCTTGTTTTTTCTTTTCTTTGCCTACCTTTTATTGGGGGATTTTTTTCTTGTTTCGAATGTGTTTTTTTCTGTTAATAACACTAATAAAAGTTATAGGTCAAAGTCAATTGTGCATATACTGAATAATACATTCAGAAGCGCTTGCCTGGTGTCTTAAACTATAATGCCTAGAACGCGACTCCGACTGGCGTGCTTTACCGCGTCAAAAAGGGTGGTCGCTCGATTTCGGCCTGGGGCC